CGCTCGGCATGGAGACGCTGCCGTTCGAGGACTGCCTCTGTTGGGTGAGCGGGCGGCAGTGACGGCTTTCCCGGCGGTGGCCGTGCGCTCCGGGTGCTGGAGTCGTGACACGGGTCCGTGTCCGGGCGGCGACCGGGTCCGATGTGGTCGCGAGCGGGCCCCATCCGTCCTAACGAACGCGGCACGCTTCATGAATACGTCTGGCGACAGCGACTGCTGCTGGCTCGACAGTGGGGACTGGGTTTGCCAGCGCCTGAGTGTTTTTTTGCGACAATGGTTACACAGGACCGTGTGGCGGCTCATGCAGACGCGTTGCTACTCGGAGTAAGCCGATTGGATACGGGTATAGGGTCTTGCCCTGTTGACACCCGGTCGTGACAGTCACTCCCTGCGTACCGCGTGTTCTCGCTGACGACAGTGACGCTGAACCGGCAATGAGGGTCGCACTCGCTCCGCAGATGCTGGACATGGTCCAGCCCGAAACACACGGCAAGATCGCGCTCAGCGACCTCAAGCAGTGCCAGATGGCCAACATCTTCTTTGACACGTTCTTCAACCTGGAGAAGTACCTGGAGCACGACCAGCGCGACCCGTTCGCCATGCAGCGGGACGGGGAGCCCGGCCAGCCGGTGGGTGCCGCCTCTGCCCTGCGCTACCACCGTGGGCCGGAGCGCAGTGGCGGGTTCACCCGATGGGTTATGGTGTGGTAGCTTGCTACGGTTCCTGTGTCGGGAGCAATTGGTGCTGAATGATTTCATGTGATTGGGGAGATCTGGTCGCCAGCCAGGCCTGCCCTTGGCGTCGATTAAGGTTTCGAGGCGGGCGGTCACGGATGCGAACATCACTGTTCTTAACCAGAGGTCAATTGTCGTAATGGCGGACGTGACCTTTTACTGGGCGGATGGGGCGGCCGATACCGTGGCGGTGCGTCCGGCCCCGCCGCCGTGCGGCTCTGGCGGCGGTGGCTGCGACTGAAGTGTGTCCCATGGCCGCCAGATGTCGGACTGGGACCGGTTCGCCGCCGAGGAGTACGAGCTGCTGGTGGCTGAGGAGGGGGCGGGCCGAACAGGATCCCGAATTGTGAGTTACTGGCGCGCGCTCGAGTGGCCGGGCGGCGCTTTCGCTTGCGCTGCTTAGTGGCTCGACTATGTCTTGCTCCCATAGAGGAGGTCATTCCATGAGCATCATGAATCTTAGATGTTTTTGTCTGGCGTAGGTAATCTGTGAAGCCAACGGGCGCGTCTCGTTGCCAGACAGTAGTCAATCAAACGAGAGGGTTGGGATCGGGGACGCTGTTGTAGAGCGCTCGTTTCAGCATGAGCTCTGTGTTGTCGGTTAAGTATATAATTCGGAAATGATGCGTTGCAGGGTTGTTGTTGAAGATACGCCTTAGCTTAAGTAAGTACCCATGGTACTTAACCCAAAAACTTAAACCCCAACGTGTACATGTTAATGAAGCGCCTTGGTGTGTGTGCATAACAACATTTGTTTTGTGCTTTTATTCGTTTTTCTTCTTTTCGTTCCATACGCCATTATTGCCAGGAATGATTTGGATGGTAACAAAGCAGTCCAAACACAAATTTATTGTGCTCATTTGACAGCATTGATTAACATGACACCAAGTTTGAGTTTACCGTCCGTGCCGTCCTGAGACGCATGAAAACACAAAACACGCGCCCACGTGATTCCGTGCGCATCGCCCACCACGCCGCAAGCGAGGCCCCGCGGCTCGGCCGGGGCACTGTGCAATCCCGGGGAGGGGGGGGGGGGGGGGCGAGACACTTGGCGCGCTCCATACAGGTGGTGCCGTGGTGCAACACAGGTGGTGCCGGTCAGATTGGTGCTTCACTGACGGGTGGTGCCGGTCAGACTGGTGCTTCGCTGGCGGTTGGTGCCGGTCGGACTGGTGCTTCGCTGACGGTAGAGTCAGTCAGGCTGATGCTTCGCTGACGGGTGGTGCCGGTCAGACTGGTGCTTCGCTGGCAGTTGGTGCCAGTCAGACTGGTGCTTCACTGTCGCGATGTCGGTGTACAGCGGGGAACCAGCTGCTTGTTTCGTCGCCGCTGGCGTCTTCATCTTTGGGGAGGGGCGCACATGTCTCAACCTCTGCGCACCGTCCGCGCCGACCCTCATATACCACTGCGTGGGTTGAGACCGTGGGGACTCCGGGCATGGTAGGGACGTCAGCTGGTCGGCGTCCGGCTGACGGCGACCCTCATACACCACTGCGTGGGTCGAGACCGTGGGGACTCCGGGCATGGTGGGGACGTCAGCTGGTCGGCGTCCGGCTGACGGCGACCCTCATACACCACTGCGTGGGTCGAGACCGTGGGGGCTCCGGGCATGGTGGGGACGCCAGCTGGTCGGCGTCCGGCTGACGGCGACCCTCATACACCACTGCGTGGGTCGAGACCGTGGGGGCTCCGGGCATGGGGGGACGCCAGCTGGTCGGCGTCCGGCTGACGGTGACCCCGCCTGCGCCGCAGCCTGTACGAGGAGGACGGCGACCAGGAGTCGGAGCCGCTGGAGCGGCTGAGCATCACGGAGCCGGTGCGCACGCCGGCCCGGCCGCGGCCCGACGCTGACGACGACTATGCCGAGACGGACGCCGACTACACCTACATCTCGGACGCGCCCGCCCACGCCAAAGTGGTGTGAGCGCGGCGCGCCACCGCAGCCAGCGAACAAGCGCGGCAGCTGGCGCCGGCGCTATTTATACGAGGACTGGCGCGCCGGTGGCCGGCCACCGGTGCGCACGTGCGGTCGCTTAGCGACGGCGAGTCGTGTGACGCGCGGCGCGCGAGCTGTGATTCCGGCAGGCCGGCCGACCGGCCAGTGCGGCGGCGGCCCGCCGCGAGACGGATCAACGGGCGGCGAACCCTTCCGGCGAGACAGATCAATTGCGGCCGGGCGGTGTCATGTGTCGATCGCCACGAGTTCTGTGTGACAGGTGAACTCGTAATCGAATTTATGTCAGCAGTCTGAGCAGATCGTTAGTCAACTGTTTGTGCGCATGTGAATTATTAGTGTTTGATGTGACGATTAGTTTTCCGTGATCAATTCCAATGAACTGACAAGTTGCATTCATCCAGTGTAAATAGTTCATGTATATAGTGTCATATGTTTGTGGTGCAATTGCCAAATATTGCAGTTTGATACCTAACAGCCATATGCTTTTGATGATTAAATCTCTAATGTGGGATTCGTGTTTGACGGTGCTGGAGAAGCCCGGCGACAGTGGACCTGGTGGAACATGAACGGTGTAGGCCTGAAGATGCCCGTGGTGGCACCCGACCGAGCACGATCCTCAGCAGCGGGCCTCGCATGAGCTCGCTCCGTTGGTTTACCGTCGCGCGTGGTAATGGGCAGGCCCGCCCGTCCACCTTGCGACACTCCGCGTGAGCATGGTGCCGCCGGCAGCCGCGAGATGGCTCCACGGTCGTCCCGGTGTGTCCATGCCGGCTCAGACCTGATGGCGGCGCAGTAGTGCATTGTCGCTCGCCTCATCACATTGCTGTCCATGTTTGACGGTCGTGACCGAACAAACGCCCACCTAATCAAACAAAAATAGCTAAATTCCCCTGTTGGAAACGCTCATCCTTTGGGTGCTACTTCAAAGCAACTGGATTTGAGCATTTGCTGTTATGCCTATTGGTCTTTGGCTGGCCATTCTCAGCCCGCAATATTCGCTCGCAGCCGGATAAGTTGCGACGGTGTTGGTACTGACGAGAGATGTCGGCACCGCACACACGCTGTCCCATCACTCGGCGGCGGCTCGGACACGCCAGATGAAGAAGTCTTCGGCATGCTGGCAGGGGCAATGCCTCTCCATTCAGTTTTGCCCTTGGCCTACCATCTCTTCAGCCATCGAACTCGAAAACAGCTGACTTACTGAGGCTAAGAGGCATGACTGCACAGTTGTGTGGTTGGTAAACAGGCCATCGCGAGTACATCGAGGAAGACGTCCGTAAAAGCGACCCAGGTTTTACGAGTGTTCGGAGACCAGGTGAAAGGAGTTAAAAGAGCCAGACTTCGTTGGCCTTGCCGGTGAAAACTGTCCCTT